ATTTCTTTTCAAATGAGAACTGCCCTTGTAATTGAGCTTCATGGGGCTTAGGGTTTTCTTTTTTTTAATTTTCTGGGTACTGTAATTCTGGGTTCAGTCGTGAGGCATCAGCTGCTAAGAAAGCCACAGTTGGAATCTAACAGTATAATTGTTCCTGTGTCTGCTGGTTTAAGATTGCTGAGTTATGTTTTTGTCAAGTGTAAATCAAAGCTTTCAAGGTTAATAGTTCTGGTGAACTACTGCAGTTGTTAATTTGCTGACTTGCCGCAACTGACTTTTTTTCTTGTTCTGTCTTCAGCGATAGATATGCCATTTAAAACTTCTTGTTCAAAGGGGCAAGAACCAAATGTTACATTAAATGCCTAACTTTGGCCTCTAATACATAGATTGGTGTAAGAATGGTGCAGCTGTCCAGCTGTTCGTAATGTTCAAGTACTTAGATTGGTGTAGAAATTGGAAGCAAACATTTTATTTTCCCTGTGACTCTTGCTTGCTTTGTATTCCTCAGTTGACTTTTTAAAAAATGATCATCAGTTCAGGTGACCCTTTGTTACCAGGGAAAATAAGTGTTGAGTATTTATGGCCAGCATCAGTGGCAGGTGGCAAGATTGCTGGTCTCTATAGATGCCATCATTCTTGGTAGAGAATGTGAGGCAGAAAAAGTGAATGTTTTAACTTCCCTGCAACACTCAATTATTTTAAGTTTTTTAAATCAGTCAATTCATAAGTTTTAAAATGGTTAATTATTACACTAGTTTAAATACAAAAGGTGCATTCTCTTTCCTTGCTTATGGAATTTACATGACACCTATTTCATACTCGCTCTTTTTTCCAAGTTCAATACGTTGCGGAGTCTTAAATGTATTTCAGTATTTATCAGCTTTGTGTTCCATTATTCTGTGCGCACCAATACTTCCCAAAAGTTTTTACTGAATTCCACGGTTCAATAATGGTAGGCAATTTTTAAGGTTTCCTTTAAACTGTAATTTATATAAAGTAGCATAGGTTTGTATTTGGGAGTGACAGCAAGCAGTTTTGCATTTGTTGAGCAACTACTTCTAATGATGGAGCCCTCACTTTATTTCATTTGAGATGACAGGGATTCAAATTCAACAGACTTTCTCCCAGGCATGTAGATAATCAGGAAGGGTCTGCGTATTGATGCAAAATAATACTGAGGGTGTCAAACCTTTACAGAAGGTTTCAGGGTATTTGCAACCATGAAATCTGAATAATGGGATTTAAACGCTTGTGGTTTGAGTTCTCTATTCAGAAGACCTTGAGTAGAGGATTTCTGCCAGAGTCGTTAAGAAGGAGTAAGCAAATGCTACCCTTTTAGGTTTGTTACTGGTTTGTTGGGGTTGTTTTTTTTTGAAAACTGTTTTCTTAAATTGTGACTCTATACAGGTTTTTTTTCATACACGTTCTTTGTGTTACTTAAGCACCAAAAACTGTGTAAACTAGTTAAAGCTCCACAAAAAAATGCACATTTTTTTTATATAAGGCTTTCTAATCAAGTTTCACTACTGCATCTTTTTAGCTTGCTGTTTACTCCCTTTTGTAGTTTTACCTACAAGATTTTAAGATAAATCAGCTAAGTCTGAGTTAAATATTAATCACAGTTATAGCTTTACCGTTGTGTGCAATTTAAATATGTTTGAAACCACAATTGGCATAGTTTTGCCTTAGCTAACATTCAGGGCTTTAGAAGTAATTTTTTGCTAGTCCACCTTTAGCAAATTTATGAAGTCTATTGCCCTAGAAAGCTATAGTCAACCAGAGGACCATTTTTGTATTGTTACCTGACTATATAAGTCTGATTTACTGTATGTGCTAATATATTATATTCCTTTTGTTATAGATTGTCCTAATGGCAGGTAAAGCAATAAAATGATTTAAATTCTTAAATGCAATCAGTCTCTTTTTTTTTTTTTTTTCTTTCCCCATCCCTATATTATGTTTTCCTTTGGCCTTAGAGGATACGTTATTAATGAGGTGGTAGAAAGTAAGAAGCTTAATGGATTAATGTTGTGTTAACTGTGGAGCCTTGAGTTCAAGTCCTAGCTTACAGCACAACTGAACCTTCCCCTCTGGAGCCTGTGGGAGAGTTTGGTCTCCATGAGCCAACCTGTGCCTGTGACCCAGGAACTTCTCTGGAGTTCTGGCATTGGGTGCAGATGACTGCTTTTGAAGTGAGAAGGTACCTGCGTCTCGCTTGAGTGTCTCTTAGCAACTCGTGCTGCTGTGATCTCCTCAGGCCGTTAATTCCTGGCTCAGCCACCATTATTGGAGCTCCTAAGTTTCTGTAAGTTGTCTGCTCCCATCTATGCATACCCTTAATGAAAGTTTTGAACATGCCAATGAGTTCTGGTGGACAGACAGCGAGAAATTGAGGGGGATTTTTACACTATGATGAAGTAGGAAAAAATTTGAAGAGTGATGACCTGAAGCAGCTCAGACGGGACATGTTTTGCACCCAGTTCTGAGGAAGCCATCACCCAACTTTGAAGATACATTAAAAAGCTGCCATGCAAAAGAGAATAAAAATAAGAAAGCAACTTTGCAATCCCTGTTAGTGTACCAACTATTTGGGTTTGTTTCCTTCATCCTGCCCTCTCTTTCCCCCATCCCCTTGACCAAAAAAAAAAAAAAAGGCTGAAAACTTTTTTATTGCCTAAAATGAAACTTCAAAGTTTCCACTTCCAACCTTACAAATTTACTGATAAACTTATCTCCTGTTGCCATGTTCTTCCTGTTCAAGCAGCCAACAGTAACCGTTCCCTGACACTGACCAAATTAATTTTGGGCTTGTCACATGTGGTAAGTGCACAAAAAGTCCCCGGTAGAGGGAGATACAGCTTTCAGAATACAGTGTCCTGTACGGAAATAGCCGCATGCTGAGAGTGAGTTAAATCCTTTTATTTTCATCTATTCTCTGTCCACACGAGTAAAAAGGTCCGTAAGCCCACCAATGTTGAGAATTCTGTTGGATTGAGACTGTCTAAAACCATGCTTTTGTGAAAGCTGGAAATGAAAGAACATGGCTGAATCACAGGTCGGGAGAGACTAAAGGAGCATAGTGTGTGTTGGTTTAGTGGTGGTGGTGTGTTTTGTTGGTTGGGTTTTGGGTTTTTTTGCTAACCTTTGTGGCTTCAGAATTTTGGAGGAATCTCTTTGCTATGTAGAAACACTGGGAACTTCCTCATACAGGTAAGCAGAATAGGCACCTGCAGGGACACACTCAAATTACAACTGCAGTCTCTTCCGTAGCTTTACAGTGTGGAGGCAGGAGTACAGTAGAATTATTGTGGAATTGCATTAAATGTCAGCACAATCCCCTGTGAAAAGTGATAGCTGTGGCCAAACAAGCTTTGTTCCTTCCTTGCATGATCCAGGCACTTACTGCCAGCGTCACCGAGTTCCCTTTAGATTGGGCAAAATTCCAGCCCACAAGAAAGTGAGCCAGTGGTAGGTGCAGCATTTTACCGAGAGCCTGTTAACAACTGCTTCCTGACAACATTTGTGCTATGGTTTTAGGCTTCTCTGAAAGCTCTGCAGTGCTGTAGATGTTTTTTGTTTAACTTAAAGGTTAGTTTAGAGTGAGGTTCTAGTAGATTGTTTGTGGTGTTTTGTGTTTTTTTTCCTTATGGATGATAAATTATCAACAAAGTTCTCATACTTTCCCGACGCTGCCAAAAAACTCAGTGCTATCATTCTTGAGCAGGTAAAGGAAAAAGCTATGAAACAGAGCTTCAGTAATAAAGTTAATCTTAAGCCTTGTCGTTGGAATGCAAGGGGAAAACTACAAAATGAAAGATCTACAACAACCCTCCCCACATTTTTTTGGTCTTCAGTTCCTATTGCCTCTCTTCAACATGCACAGAAACGGGATGGGGATGTACCATTTCTGTTTTACGGGGACTTCTGACAACTTCAGTGATTTTAAAGCTGTGAGATGATGACCTGAGATAAATCCCCCCTACTTTGGCAATTTTTTTCACCAGAAGTGGGTGGCTTCTTGAATTGTAAATACAGTCCTATGCCTCTCACAGTTTGGTTTGGTTTGTTGTCTTTTCCCCTTGGGATCAAAGGCAATGCTTACCTGCCTTTCTCTTATAACCAAAACTGGCTCTTCTACCCATGAGGCAGGTAAAAGTAGAAGTGGTTTTACTGCCCTGTGCGGCAGTGGGCTTTTGAGCAACACACAGAGATCGAAGCGGAGTTGGTTGATCACTGCTGAAGAGAGCAAGAGGCAGCAGACAGGCCTGATGGTGAATACTGTGCAGATGTTCTACATCTGACGGTGCTGAATCAACGTGCTATCTTGCCTCAGTGGCAGGTACTGCCCTTGTGAAGTAAGATTGCTCTTTTCTCAAATACACAGTCTTGATTACAGAACAGAGACTTAATATGAGGAAAATGCTCTTGGCATCTCTTTATTCAAGCCTCATCCTTGGATCTAGTTGGTGTCCTTCATCAGCATGACTGAGAATCCCATGCAGGTTGAGCAAACTGATGGCCATGTGTTTCCCCTGCCCTCCCCAGGGCATGCCCAGCTGCAGAACAGGAGATCACTGCTTATTCCACCAGAGAGCTGGTGTTCGGGCTGTAAAGGCACGCTGCAGTCAGGCCACAGCTTACCAACACAATGGCTGAGCACAGCAGCTTTGGTTGAGTACCCAGCACAGAAGCTCAGTGTGATTCTTGAAGATCACAGAATCATAGAACAATTTGGGTTGGAAGGGACCTTTTGAGGTCATCTAGTCCAAACCCCCTGCAGTGAGCAGGGACATCTTCAACTAGATCAGGTTGCTCAGAGCCCCGTCCAACCTGACCGGGGATGTTTCCAGGGATGGGGCATCTACCACCTCTCTGGGCAAGATCTTCTGCAGAGTTTCCCCTCTCAGTCTCCACAAGTGTTTGTAGATGGAGATTACCAGCTATTAAAACACTTGCCTTGCAGGGGTTTTCCCCCACCTCTGAGCACGAGTTAGGACTGTTTAAGTGGTCAGCTTCACTCTGTCAGATGCAGGAGCCTCAGGCTGTGCGGTGTCATTGGCCACCACCTTGGCTTCTCCATACGTGTCTATGCATTTCCTCACAGCTTTCAGGATAAGCTGTAACCGTCTGTCTAAAGCCAAGAGATGGGGTTCGGTGAGGACAGGTGCCAGGCGGTCCTGCAGGAGCGATTCCCTCATCACGTCGCTGAGCCGATACTCGGGCTCAGCCAAGAGCTGGAGTCGTAATAATGTCGTCTTCTTTATTCTGGAAAAAAAAAGAAATCGGACATCTTAATGCAAACTTCGTGCAGCACCCCAGCAGGAACCAGCTATCCGAGCCCCTTGGTAGCAGGGGAGGGAGGGAGGGCAGAGACAGGTGAAGCTACTTGACAAAGAACATGGGAACAAAATCTTTCCCTTTCTGAAGGAAATGAATATTTTTGCAGAAACCTCTGCTTCTTCCTTTGTTTTTCCAGACTGCAGAGTGTTTGTGCTGTGGATATCTGTCATCAGAGAGAAAAACATGATAGAAGTTCTCAGTAATGAGTGTTTTTCCTCTGAGTCGGAGATGACCCGGTTCCCCAGATTGCTGCAGGGTGCTGCCATGTTCCCAAGGATGACATTGATGGGGTGGGGGCAGAGGAGGGGGTATAATGAGGTGGCATGATGGGGAGGGAGGGGGAATATTCTGTCAAACCCCTGAGCAAAAAGAGGGAGTATTTCCTGAAACTGATTTATTGTGACTTTTTACCTTAGGAGGTACTGAGATTTAAATATTATTTCCCTTTGACAGAAAATGGGATGAAAAGCTATAATCTTGGAATGCTTCTGGGAACTAAATCAGTATTCTGAAATCATTGTTTAATCCTCAGCAAAAGTGTTTTGACTTCAGCATCTCTAATACAGAAATTAATCAGTGGTTTTAATTATTGCCCTTTAAATTTTGGAAGTGAAGTAGTTTGTGTTCGTGGAGCCATTCCTATTTAGCTGAGCCAGAATTTTCAGATGGGAAAAAGGTGTAGTGAGAAACATTTTAACCAGCTCCAGAATTTGCCTTTGGATGCCTGTTATTTACCCGGGGCATTGACTGGGATTGCGTTGCACAAGGGAGGGAGAAAAGCGCTGCGACCGCTGCCTCCTGCGCCGTGCTGGCACGGGGGGCAGGCGACCTAAACGGTGGCTGTTGTCCTGGCTGCCCGGCTTGCGTTAATATTCCTACCAAAAAAGAAACAGCAGTTGATCAAGTGCTAAGGCTGGCAACGAGGCTTTCAATCGCTGCCGGAGCAGGGCTGTGAGGTCCTGCCGCCGCCGCAGAACCGCAGCGGGCGAGCGGGCGCTCCCCTGCTCGGCAAGGGGTGACCCAGGAGCTGCAGCGGGTAAACACCAGCCGTGTTTGCTCTGGTCTGAACGGCGATGGGGCTTGGAGGTGGAGAACGGGATAGTCTGACCCCGTGGGGAACGGCTTGTTCAATGCTGTAACAGTTACATAAAAAACAGGCAGAACATGGAAATCCTGCGTGAGATGGAAATCCTGCCACCGGCCCCGCTCCTCTCCCCAGTAGCCCTGCTCTCGTACTGAATTGTTGAAGATTTGACCCAGAGCCTTCTAGGGACTTCATCAGCCAAGAAGATACACGTGCCAGGTTAACGGGGGGCTGTTTTCAGGCCTCTCTGTGCCTCGTTGAGGGTTTTGACCCTTTTGGGGAAGGGACTATCTCATACCGCGTGGCTGTATTTGTGCCGTTTGCTGTACTTGGAGCAACGCTGGGAGAGGAGAGCAGCAGACTTCAACACGTGGGACAAGGACTGGTGTGGGAGCTGTGAAAGGTAGCTAAAAATACCAGACTTAAATCTGCTGCAAGCCAAACTTGGAGAAGAACTCAGCTGGGAACGAGAGGAACGTGTTTAGCAGGGAAGCGAGCAGCCTGTTGTCCAGACCCCCGTGGCTCGAGTGGTCCCTCTTGTCTGGAGCGGCTGCAGGACCTTGTTCCTGCCTGGCTGCGCACAGCTCGACTTCATGGAGGAACAAGGAGGTGACTCGGTGGGCTGAGTCCACCTTGTCGGTCAGGGCAGATTGAAATCTGTGGCCTCTGTGCCAAATAAACCTTTTTATTTCCTTTCCAAGCGTTTTTGGATGTTCCCCCACTCCAAATGGACTGGCTGTTGTGGGAAATGAGGTTTTGTGTGTCTCCCTCGGGCACCACGAGTTGCTTTTACACTGTTCTTATACCTAGTTGGCTTATTACAAGGTGCAACTTGCAGGTCATCTTACCACTGCCTCTTACAAGGAGGACTAAACTAAGAAGAGCTTCTGGGAGGTGGATCTGGAAGAATAGGAAAGGATCTGACCTGTGGTTATTACTGATACAGGTCAAATTAAGAGGCAGAGTTAATTTAAACTGTAAAAAATGGGAGCTCAGAGAAGGATTTACTGTGAGCCTGCAGTTATAAATGAAAAGACTCACTGGGTGCAAATAGCAGTTCTTAAAATTAGATATGGTAATACAAGTGTATCGGGAGAGAGTGCAATTAACACCCCGAGGGTGAGATGCAACAGGTACAGGGAGGAAGTAGGTTAGGCATCTCCTAAAGAGAAACCAGAGGGAAGAGCAGCTTTTTCTGTCTCTCAAATTTAACTTTCAGCTGATGACTTCTGTGAATTAATAAAGGGGGAAGACAGGATTCAAATAGTAAAATTTATGAGTTTCTTCTTAGTGCCATGGGAAGAAGAAACCTGGTTAACTACCGAAGTTCCACCAGGCTTTTGGATGGAGATTGCTGAGCTTCATGTCAGATGAACAGGGCTGATAGCACCTCGTGTCGATGGGCTGGGAAATGCTAGCAGACCCTTCTGGAAGGGTTTGGTCTAACAGACAGCATCTCCTGGTCTGTCAGTGAAAGCTTCTACACTTGCAAGACCTTTTAGCTTCAACGGGAAAGTATCCAGGAAGGATAGTTGTATGACACTGTAGCAGGCTGCAGCACAAGAGAGCTTAATACTCTTAAAAAATAAATAAATGTGTAGACGTGGCACTTCAGGATATGGTTTAGTGGGCATGGTGGTGTTGGGTTGATGGTTGGACTTTTGATGGTCTTAAAGGTCTTTTCCAACCTTAATGATTGTGTGTGAACGGACAGAAAAGCTTAATCCCTGTTTCAGGGCCAACTTGTGGTTCCCATGCTGCGGCGTCCGGCCTGCCCCCTCGGCTGCGATGAGCAGGGGCTCTTCCCTGTGCCGCCGGATGGAGCCAGGCCTGGCTGTCCGCTGTGGTGGGAACACCAACGTGCCTGGGAAGGAAGACGAAGCTGGCACTTACATGCAACACTGGGAGAGCGGGGCCAGGATGGAGGTTTCGTCGTGGGAATGCCGCCCGAACCTGGGGGGGTAAGCAGAGAGGGTAAGCCGAGCCTTAGTGCCTGCCCACCACCTTGCCCCGCTCCCCGATGTCCTCCCGCAGCCTCACCCTCTGGCGTTGTCCAGATGTAAGAGGAAGCCGTCGTCCCCAAACTTGGTGAACATCTCATAGTGGTGACGGTCCATGTTCCCTGGTAAAGGGCAGACAGAGGAACAGAGTTTCCCTCGCCTGTGGCTGAGTAATCTCCTGAACTACCCTGTGTTTTCTTTCAGATCTGCATGAAATACTTGTTGCCTTGCTGGAAGGCTCCAAGATGCTCAGAGCTGCTGTTTTCATCCTGCTGGACCCCCCGGGGAGTGGACTGGGGTGGGCCCGGGGGCTCCCCCTCACCTGCAGATCAGGAGGGGCTGTGCTGGCTGGCTGTGGGGAGACAGCAGTCTCCCAAAACTGGAGCAGAAGGGATGGCTTTGAGAAACACCGTGGTACGGGAGGGCAGACAGACTGATGTTGAAGGCCCAGACGGAAGGAAGGAATGTTATTTCCCTCTTCATCATACCTATTAGGAAGTCAAATATGGCCATGTCAATGATGTTAAGCAGCCGGTTGCCGTTGCTGTAGGGGTAGATCTCCCTCACTGTGTTGCAGTAGAGCGGATTCACTTCCCACCTGCGGGAGTCGGAAGAGAAGGGGGAGACACACTCAGTGGTTGCTGCTGCTGTGTCCCAACAGCACCCCAACGCCGGTCTCCTGTGCAGAGATGGAGAGGAGGACTTAAATCTCCCTCCTTGTGCATGCAGGAGACTGGAAGTCAAACCCAGTCAATGCCCTGGCGTTAAGAGTTATTAGACTAATTATGGGCAATTGCTGAACCTTGGCCTTCCTCTGCCTGGACGTACAAATTCTGTACGTATGTCTGCGTGTCTGTACCCTGCTCGTTCTCCTTCCCGCATGGCCCCCGCAATGCGGACATGGGAAGCAGCATCGTTGACCCACTTACTCCTCTTTCCCATCAAATGAGTAGGACCGGATCCATGGGTTTGGGATGGAGAGTCGTGGCGCCAGGTTGAGGGATGGCAGGAAGGCGGAGAGGGACCCTTCCAGGAGGTGGGGGTTCCCACACACTGCGTACTCGGTCTTGCACATGTATGGGCACTTGGCAAAGAAGCACACGTTGCTGGCTGGGAGAAGAGAGAGGAGAACGGGGAAAGGAGCTACGATTGATCTGCAGGAGGCTGCAAGGCAGCCTGGACTGATCTCTTCCCCGTCGCGTGACGGTGATTGCATATATTGTAGCACATCACGGATGTGAACCTGCCCGATCGTGGACAATACCTGGATTTTGGTCGATGGGCAGACCTGGTCCTATGCTAAGGGAAAGGTTAGGAAAAGAGGGCAGGCAAACAGATCTGGCAGATGATTCCAGCTGGATGCTCCGAGAGGGACACCCTGCTCTAACCATGGCTTTGTGCATCTGGTTCACCTAGGAATTTCATTTCTGCACAACAGCACACGTCCTGCCGGCCCCTTTTGCCTGCAGACCCTTCCACCCACCGTGGACCAACACTGTCTAATTCCAGCCTGCGGCAGCCAAGCACTCGCCTACCTGGAGAGACGAAGAAGACGCTCTGCAGGATCTCATTCTTGGTGACCTCCAGGATCTCCTTGGTGATGTTGATCAACCTCCCAACCGTGGGCGGCACCCTCCGGAAATCCAGGATCCTGCACAGAGGGGACAGCGGCTCAGAGCCTGCGGTGCAGAGGGACGTTACTGCCCAGGATGGCAGCGTGGGACGGCGGATGCTACCCTTGCCCCTTCTGTTGAATGACTTTTGATGACTGCACCCACATAGTTTTTTTGTTGGTGGCTTTTTTTTTTTTCCCCCTCTCCTCCCAGCTTCTTTCTAGCCAATAGCCAGGAGCATTTTGCCCTCTGGACCAAAATGCGGCTGAGTTCACATTTTGGTATTTTAATAGCTGCTGTCTGAAACAATCTGGATGTTCTCCAGAATTCATGTCTCTTCCCTAACTGGTTTCTCCCATCCCCTCGCATGCAAGCGGGGTCCTTGGGGAGACAGAACAGCCCTTCAGGCCCTTCCACGACGTCGGGCTTGACACTGAGCAAAGATGCGTTGAACCTGGTACACCGCGGCCGAGGCAGCGGGAGGCGAGAAGGGATCACCCCCGCTTGGAGGCACTCATGCCCAGCTGACTCATCTCAAATATTCTTTAAAAAATCAGGGCCTGGGGCACAAAGGCATTCATGTCAGTGAATGGAAAGCCGCTGTGGATTGCTGAGTCAGTAACGTGGGGTGAACCAGCTAATGCTGCGCTTTGCTCCTTGGGTAATGCCGTCTGCTTCTGAGAATTGGGCACAAAACAGGATTTAGCCTGTTACTTATTGAGTAATGTTTAAAGAAAAAAAATCATTTGCTTTCATCTAGCACCTCTCAGCTCTAAAAACCACAGAGCACTTCAGAAAAGCAGTCCAGCTTCATTTTTTGGTGGTAAAGCTGGGATGCAGAGAGGCAAGCTGATGGTAGGTGAGTCAAGCAGAGTCACTGTGGTGATGTAGGGGCAGAGCTGGAAAGGGAGTTCAGCTCTTTTTGCTCCCTTGCTCTGAGTTTGAGCTACAGGACTTATAGTCCTGTTTATCGTGGAAGTTGGGCTTGGGAACTGAAGACCTCTATCATCATCAGGAATCACTCTCCCTTGATCTTCAACACTCATCCCATCGAGGGGAAGAAGGCTGCTGCCCTCCTCTTCTAATAAGGCTATTTTTGATTTTATTAAATACAAAAGCTTGCTGGGAAGAGGTGCCAGGTTAATTGCTCGTTAGCTGAGAGCCTGAAGCCGCATCACTGCCATTTATCTCAATCTAAAACACGCCTTGATTGCTGATGGAGCGTGTGACTCCCTGCCAGGGAGGGGATCCAGGCTGTGCCCGGAGCTCATCTTTGCGCTTCGATGCATGGGAGCGACCACGTGCGTGTGGCCGCATGACGGCCGGGCAAATACCCGACCCGTTCGCGACCTGGGCCCCCTCTGCCAGCCTGTTCTCATGCAGCGGCCAAGGCAAAGCTGACTCCTGGGCTGCAGCCGGGAGCCAGAGCCACCCCGTCCCCAAATAACGCAGCGGCTCCCAAAAGGGTGCTGCAACGCAAGCGCTTCTCTGAGGCTGAGCAGCGCTGCAGGGCTCAGCACGGCTTTTCCCGTGCCAAAGCTCTCCATGGGCAGAAGACCGGGCGCCGGCGGCTGGAGGAGGCAGGCGCCGTGGCAGGACGGCGATCTCCGCGTTGTGCCGCTGGAAGTCAACGAAGTAGAAAAAGTCCTCGGGAGTTTCTTCCTCGCGTTTCTGCCTGGGAGAGAGCAAGGGGGTTACCCCAACCCAGAACAGCACTGCAGGCGGGCACCGGTGCGGGCAGCTGGCAGGCAGCCTGGACACAAAGTGGTGGCACAAGGACAATGCACCCAGGGACAGCCGGTGTGCTCGGGAACAGCCGTCATGTGGCCACGGTGGTGCCAGGGCCACCGGGCAGAGCTGGTGCCCAGACCAGGACCCAAAGCGCCCGGTGCCGAGCCGGAGCCATCGCCCGCGGTGCCAGGTGGGTGAGGGAGGCAGAAGGGCTGACTGTGGGCTTTAAAACCATTCGTGCCAGAGTTCAGACCCACTTAGGACAGCGTTTCGGGTGGGTACAACATTGGGGGATGCCAGAGGCCATGCCGCACTTCTCCTGTGGCAGGCAGGGGAA